TCTATATCGTTTAATTTACTTTGTATTACAGTAATACTCTCCTTTAGAACTTCCGTTTGAATTGACAAATCCTCTCTCACCGTTTTAATGTCTTCTTTTAATTCTTTTTTGCTGTTCTGTATTAAAGATTTGATTTCTTGAAATTGTTTGAATATGAGCGTATCTACCATTCTTACGGTGTATATTATATATTATAATATCTGTTACTCAAATAAAAAATATTGCAATTGGCAACGACGTCCGCTGTACTTGTCCAAAACTAGGTCAAATAATTATTGTTAATCGATTTATGTGATGGTTCAAAGTCCAAAGTTATTGACCACGGCGGGGCGTTTTCTAACAAATTTGCCTTTTTAAAGATGATTAGCCGTTCTAATTATGGCACTTCTTTATTTAAAGACTAAAGACTTACTTTGTCAACTACTTGTAACACTGTATTTAATTTATTCTAGCAGGAACCACAAAAAACTCAAAAATTTCTCCGCGATTACAACATTAATACTTATTCACTGCGCGCCAGCGTTGCCACCTCCATGTTAATTGCGCTTGCGTTGCCACTCCAATGTTAATTAGCACTGATCAATATTGTTGCGATGAATATAATCAGATTAAATAATTTAAAAAACAGAGTCGGACTTGATTTTTTAAAATAATAATTAAATAGTTTTGTTGCTGTTAAGGCTTAACAGCGTTAAGGTACCCAAACAAAAAAAAGTATAAAGTGTGCATATCATTGTACTCGGGAGACTGAGTTCTTTCAAAATCTGAAATAAAAAATGCAGGTGAGTGTTTAAAAAAAATAAGTTGGCCTCTCTATCTCACAAATTATCAGCTAATTTGAAAATCCAAAATACTATCAGATAGCCCTAATAAAGTGGCTATGAGAACGTGCAATTGTTTTTTTGATTTTCTAAAAGTAACGACAGGAAAAATAAAATTAGTTTTCAAAAAATCCGTCTTTTCTAAAAAACTTAGCAATCCTTGAAATTTTTAAAACTTTTTGATGGCATCAGCCCAAGGCGCAACTTTGCCCCAATTTAACCATCTTCGTATCTATTACGGTTACCGAGATACCAATGCTCGTACTCGAATTTGGAGCACCCTGTATACAGGGTTGTCCGAATTCTATTCCGGAGACTTAGGCAGCTTCTTCCGCAGATAAAAATAAGTAAAAAAGTTCGTATAAATGTATGTTCTAAAATGCTTCGTTTCGGAGATATAGGATGTAGAAGTTTTATTTTTATTTTTATTTCTTCCAAATAATTTATGAAGTAACGTCAATATTAGGATGAAAATCGGTGTCTGGGAGATTTTTGATAGGATAAATTTGATTTTAATGTCAATATGACTCCTATTTGAAGGGGGCACCACCTACATGTGGTTTAACTGTTTTGAAGTATAATAACTTTTCGTCCATACCTCTATAAAACCACTGAGTGAAAAAATATACATTACCGTGATTTTCTGGGTAAAAAATGTCTCTTGGTAAAAATCGGTACGAGCAACCGGTCTCAAGATATTTAGAATGTAAATAGTCAATAGATGTCATTATTGACAAAAAATAAACTTGCTGAGTAGATAGTTATTGACTGAAATGATAAATTTAGGAATTTTTAATTTTTTTTAATTAATCATAAATTTTTCATCGAAAAAATGATGATAAAATAGTCTCTGTTAAACTTTTGCCACAAACATTTCAAATTTAGGATTTCAGTCTAATAACTATTTAGTCAAACATGTTTAATTTATGTCAATGATGACAGGTATTGATAATTTCTATTCCAACTATCTTGAGAACCATTACTCGTAGCCATTTTTACCAGGAGAGTTTTTTTATGTAAAAAAACGTCTTAAATATATTTTTTTTACTCATTAATTTTATACAGTTATGGACGAAAAGCTATTACTCTTCAAAATAGTTAAAAAATATGTAGGTGGCGCCATCTATAAAAGTAGGAGTTATATTGAGATCAAAATTAAATCTCTCATGTCAAAAAACTCCCCGTCACCAATTTTCATCTAAGTATTGACGTTACTTCAGAAATGATTTTAACGGGATACCCCTGTTATTTGATTTGCCTTGTTATGAGTTTTTTTATATAAACAAGGTAAACAATGCATCATTTAACTTTTTAACATAGATGGCCGGTTTTAAAATAGGTAATCAAAACAATCAAATAATCTATTCGACGTCAAATTTTGGTTATAGACTATTCCACGCTAGTTTCTGTTATTCGGTTGAAAATAAGATAGACAACAGATAGACAATAATATAAGAGAAAAATAATAATTACCTAAAATAATAAATTATTTTTGGATATGATAATAATTCTATGTACACAATAAAATACTTATATAATTTAAATTGACATGAAAATCTAGACAAAAATATAGACGTATAGGCATTCAGCACAAACGGTATTTCTGGACCGATAAATCTAAGTCGTTCCCTGTTTACCCTGAAAAATCAATGGATTTTAATATACTTGGCCTGATGCTCTGCAAACACAGTATTATTGCGTCTAATGGAGATAGGAATTTCTCGAGCCCGAGGGTCGAAAAAGGCAGATAGAGAGACTCAGACCAATTGTATATTCTTTCGGATATTAATACAAACACACTGAGATTTTCCTTTTTTTTTCTTTTTTTTTTCTCTGACGAGATGTTTTTAGCATATGAGTTTTTTTATTGTTGAGAATCGGGACTTTTTCTGTAATATAGACGGTTATGGCACAAATCTAGGAAAGATGTTGTTTTTTAAATAAAAAAGTAAAATAGTTTTTAAATAAACAGTAACATAAACATATAAATATCTTTTATTACTTCGAGGTAAAATTCTTATTTCATATTAAGAGTTGTTTTACATTTTTTTTATATTTTATATGACAAAAGAGCAAATATTTTACATTTTCGGAAATATGGTAGAAAAACTGAAATTTCTGTTTTTTTAATCTACAAATACATTGTCAAAGAAACTTTTTTAGCTTCGTTATTTGGTGACGTAAAAATCACTTAAGGTATTTTGTTTTTCTGACACCATAATCAACTTATTTTTTTTTAAATACGGACCTTATTACTTTTTTTCGAAGCTTCCAAATGTAATGATGTAGCACATGTTAAGCCCGTAAATGATTTGGAGAAGTTGTTTTAGACGGTCGGAAACTGGTTCACAATTCACAGGACCACAGGGTTGAAAGGTTCAGATAACGAACGGTAGTTTTCTGAGTTCCCTTGCGTAAAAAAAGGAATAACCTTGACAGGTGCAATGTCAAATACCGAGAATAAATGTTGCACATGAAAATAAAACCCTATATAAACAAAAAATGTATAAAGAAAACGTAATTAGAAAAATAAAAAAGGCTTACCTTTGCTCAGAGGGTTTTCTCATACAGATTGGCTTTAGCCAACAAGTTCTGATCGCTCGATCAGACTTTTGCGCCGCCAATATGGCGCGGAAGGTTTTTTTTTACGATCGGTGTGTGGGACTCAATCTCTCCTTAAGCTAACAGGACCAGATAATACTCACTAAACACCACCCAGTGACTCCTACCTCGTCTACCTGGGTCCGCTCTGGACGCATCTCCCCAGGTAGACGCCAGACTGTTTCTTTTCGTTCAATTAGTTTATTTTGGGCCAGTTTTGAGATGACTTCAAAGTTTTCCCTTCTTTCTGTAACTAATTTTAAGAAGACGTCTGGCGGAGTTGTTTCGCCACAAATTGCCATGCGCGCCTCGCATCTTTTCTGTTCCCATCTTGGACAGGCAAACATTGTTTGTTCTGGAGTATCATTGGGTTCAGCACAGTATTGGCATGCCGCGACTTCCCTCATTCCAATTTTATACAGATAACTCCTAATATTCCTCTCACCACTCAATATAGTGATAAGGTAGAAGTTTACCTCTCCATGTTTTATTTTAATCCACATATTTATATTTGGAATTAGCTTATATCTTCCTTTTTCTTTCTTTTTTCCGATACTTTCCATTCTGCCTGCTATTGCTGCACTGAGCGCTTTTTTCTCCATCTCTCTGCTTGCCCTGGTTTGTACTTCACCCTTAACAAAGGGCAGTCCTGTTTCTCTTGAGAAGATGCAGGGGCACCATTGCAAGGGAGGTAGGTAAAAGAGTCAAGTATGTTTTTTACCGACTAGAAACAAAGTGTCCTGATTGCAAGTGGGGTTCGATAGAATTCAAGTTCTCGCGCAGATTAAAATTAAACCAAATGGGCTAAATGGTCTAAATGCTAAATAATACTCACAATGCCATCTCGGTGTGATAAATTGAACATGAATTTAAATAACTTTCTGTAGATACTAAAAAATGAAATGCTACACCTTCGAGTACACCTTCTTATGATGGGGATGAAGTTTCAAAAATCGCTTTTGAATACTCACTTTCAGGGCAACGGCCCAGATACGTCGAAACACCGGTTCCCATTATAACACCGAAGTTAAGCGACGTAAGGCGATACTAGTGGATCGACGGGTGACCGGTTCGAAACTCTGTATCGTGCTGTTGTCCAATAAAGGCAAAAGTGTAAAATCTATTGACACACACTGCTCATTCACGCCGGCTCGAGGCCGGATGAGATCGAATATCTCGTGTGTAAGAGTCGATTTAGACACTTGCCAAGTCGGTAGGCCATTGACCATGATATGGCCGAGGACCGCGGTTCGGATTCCGCGTAAACAAAGTAGGTCCCGCCCAGATTAGCCCTGGCAGCAAAAATGAGACGTTAACTTCAAATCTTTACTTTACTTTACTCACTTTCATTAATTAAATTACCTTTGTGCAAAATTTTATTCTTCTAAGACACATTTTCTAATAAAATATAATGTTTTACCTCTTTAAGGAACGAATTTTTGAGACATCACCGTGTTCTTAAAACATCTTTATAATTAATCAACTTGGTGCAAAGATAATTACTCGTTTTAAGTTTTTTGCTTTCGCGCCTTCGAGACAGCTCAGCCGAATGAACTAATCCGCTTGTCTCTTTTGCAGCCTGCGAATGTAACAACCACGCCCGCAGATGTCGCTTCAACATGGAACTGTACAAGCTGTCGGCCAGGACGTCCGGGGGCGTGTGCATGAAATGCCGCCACTTCACCGCCGGCAGACACTGTCACTACTGTAAGGAAGGTTATTACAGGGACTCCACCAAGTCCATCACTCACCGCAAGGCGTGCAAACGTAAGTACGCGACACACTAAATGGCGAGGCTGCGCGGCGCTTAATCGCAAATTTAATCGGAATTCGTTATTTGTCTCGTCGAGATGATTTTATTTAAAGAAGTGTATACAAGTTGTCCGAATATTCCGTGGACATTGTAGAACTATACGTGTTTTTGGAGTGAAAATAATTTCATGAAAGAAGATGGACATAATTTACCTCTATACAAAAATACTTTGATTGTCCGTTAGAGGGCATCGAACTTAAAAAAAATAAATAATTTTTTTAAGATACTATTCCGATTTGAATGAGATTTGGAGTGTACAGGGTGGGTCAAATTCGACGCTTTTAAATGGAAACACCCTTTTCTATAGGATATAGACAAAAACTAATATCGGTGTCTGGAGCTCAATTTTTGTCAAAAACATGATGATGAAAACCGTATATCGATATCTGTTACCGTTTCGGAGTTACGAGGTGTTTTTCAAAAATATGTATTTTTAACAAATCGCTGTAACTTTTTGGCTATGGAAAATTTTGTATTTTTATGAAAACATTTCCAAAGCACCTTTTTACTTAGAATTTAATGGTTTAAGTATAATTTTTTTTCAATTAATAATTTAAGAATTATCAACAGAAAATTTGATTTTTTATATGGGGCACCCTGTATATTTTTAATTTATTGAAAATAATTTAAAATTGCCTTTCCAAAAATATAACACACTTGATATTTTGCTCGATTCCTCTTCGAGATATACAGTATATAAAAGTTCGCCCGCTTTAAATAAGTAGGCTTTGAACGGCACCGGCTGTAATGCAAAAAAAATCCAAGCTGTGAGCATCCGCCGTTATCCAGTTATTTTTGAAATTGGCTGCAAAAATTTACTGATAACTTCAACGTTCAGAGGCGGTGCGTCGTCTTGCTGAAAAAATATATTTTCGAGTTCCATTAAGGGCATATCATCAATAAAGGGCCCAAAGCCTACTAGTTAAAAGTGGCGAACTTTTAAAAATTCTGTATTTCGAAGGGGATTATAACAAAATATCAAGTGTGCTATATTTTTGGAAAGGTAATTTTAATTTTTTTCTGTTAATTAAAAATCTAGAGGGTGTCTCAAATAAAAAATCACTTTTTCTGTTGATAACTCTTAAATTATTAATTTCAAAAAAATTATACTTAAACCATTAAATTCTACGTTAAAAAAGTGCTTTGGAAATGTTTTCATAGAGATACCAAATTTTCCATAGCAAAAATGTTACAGCGATTTGTTAAAAATGCACATTTTTGAAAAACACCCCGTAACTCCGAAACGTAACAGATATTGATGTCGCATTTAAAAGCGTCGATTTGACCCACCCTGTACATGTTTTGCTAAGTGCTTTAACATTTGACTTTCCCAAAAACAAGGAAAAATATGGGAATGGTGAAAATTACCGCCACTCCTACGTAAATTTTGGTAGAAATATTTTTCAACTCCCCAACCACTGTTTTCTTTTTCGTAAAATAGTCGACATGGAACAACTACGTATTTTTTAAGTCAAAATGACTTACTTAATTGCACACAATTCACAGTACGTCTATCCGTTCTGTAGCTACGGGGCATCTGTAAGAGGGGAAACGATATTGTCTGTTAGCCGGTAATTCATGAGCCTTGCCATAAATATTTTAAATAGCATTACTTACTTATACAAAAAAAATAAAAAATACCCAATCAGTTTTATTTTTTCAATGTTGTTCCAAGTAAATAAGATATAATTTTTATAAAAATTAAAATATTAAGAAGAAAAACAATAAAAAATCAATAAAATCCCGCAACTGTTTTACCGATAACGACTGCTCTATTCTCTCCAGCTTCTCTGCTACCGTTTAATCGTTGTTTCTCGTAAAAAAATTAGACGACGCGCCATTAATACAAATTTGACAAATTTGCAAGTTGCCAATGAATAGACTCTCTGCCGCTTTTATTTAATTAGCGATTTATAAAATATATTGCTGCTTATTAAATCTTTTGCTACTACTACTACTACTAACATAACATCCCATATTTTCGCGAATTTGATAATTAGAGCATACTAGATTTTATTCGCGTACGTAGCTTCATGAGCGAATAAATATTTCTTGTAAGTCACTTTCGGAAACGTTCTTTTTTTTCCGAAAAGCATGCGCGGTGGTGTATAGAATATCATTCAGAGGTATATTGTGTCCAATGAATTTATTTTGATCCCCAAAAACGAATACTACTACTACTGCCATTACTCGCTGACGAGTATTTGACAGGCATCAGAAGATGGTTACGCAATAAAACATTACTACCTCCATACTATGACTATAACGATCCATCAATCTAAGACTACAAATTAAAGAATTTTATTTAATTAAAAAAATGTAGTTCGTGAAATGAGTACCAAATAAGGCACTAATAATTTCAATAGTGAGCTGCATGTGCACGGATTAATTATGCGTTTTAATTACTAATATAAAAATATTAATTTTATTATATTATTAATTGATTTAAAATATTGGAAGGGGCAGTGAACAGCACAAGAAACAACAGAAAGCTCATATTTCTTGTTCTTGAAGTATTTATGTTATCATGATGTCTCCTTTCACGCAGTTGAGCAGCTCTGAACTGTTCAAGAACGCGATACTCTCACTCCATTCAATTGAGTCATAAAGTTCCAGAACTGTTCCGCGCCATATAGAGGCACTAGAGTCTAGACTATCGCGCACAGCTCCTTTCAGAACCGTTCTCGAGTAGCCCCAGGGCGTAAAGCCCGGAACTCGAAGTTCGCGAATGGAGGACAGCAATAGTTGAAATATTCTTTACTCACATGAGTCACATGGTCGCACTAGGTTTCCATGAGATTTTATAGTTTTTGTGACTCTTGAAAATTGGCTCTAAATCCATTGCATTTTTCTTTTTCTTCCCCATCTTTTAATAGAGCAGCTAGGTACATACCGGGCGCTCTCAAAAGTCACCCCTATAACTTTTTATTTTTTCAGATAAAAAATTGAGTTTTGGTATATTAGTATATGACATATTATATTAGAAATGAATGACGTATTCAATTGTTTTCATTCGCTTCCTCTTTCACCGGAACTAACTACAAATTTTGATTTTTAAATGGCATCTTCGGTACTTTACTCGATTACTTTATTCGATAGGAAATGCCACTCTGAATAGGATGACATATCGTATGTCAACTTTCGGCATTTTCGAAGGTGGTTTATTTGAAACTGCAACATGCGATTCATAATGACAATTTGACTCGAAATACTAAGTGTGTAGTACCAAATTATTCGAAAAAATGATTTTTCCAAATATGCAATGAGCCACCCTTGTTCCATTTGAAAAAATCGAGATATGATTAAAAATACGATTTGGGCGTCTTTTAACCGGCCAGGACAAGACACAGAAAACATTAGACTATCAAATCTATTTTTCCAAGGCTCCTTGATTAAAAATTGGTATTTTTAACACAGCCATGGCACTCTAGATTGAAATTTAAAATTCAATTTTGTTTTAAACGAAAATGTCAAAAAGTTGAAAACCTATGATATGTCAACTTTTGACATTTTATATTTATATATAAAATATTACTATTCAGAATGTCATTTTCTATAGAATAAAATAAAAAAAAATACCGAGGGTGTCATTTAAAAATCAAAGGTAGTCACTTCCGGTGAAACAGGAAGTGGCCGAAATTAATTGAATACATCAGTCAATCCTAATTTATGTCATATTACTAACATGCTAAATCTCGTTTTTTATCTTAAAAAATAAAAAAGTTATAGGGGTGAGGCACTTTTGAGACGCACCCGGTAAATTATAGTTAAGGAATGAAAGAAAAATACACCACAGATTTCTTACATTAAAAAAATATGAACTACTCTTATTTTAAATTTATATAATAAATATTAATAATTTTGTAAAAACTATTAAATTAAATATTAATGGTATATTGTGCAAGTATTAAATATCACACGTTCGCCCAACATAAATTCATTGAAACGTCTCGGCATGTTTTATTGTCGCGATCAAATCCAAATTATGCTATAAAACACCAACAAAAGCGTCACGACGGCATTTCATTGCACCGTTTAACGTTTTATCAGATTGAATTACAAGAAGTAATTAAAAGTCTGAAATAGCGACCAGAAAGTTCATAAATAAGGCGAGAAATGCAACACGAAGAAATAGTTTTCTTTAAATTAACGATCTCGTAACAGCAGAAGCAGCAGCTTCTCTCCGAGACCATCCCCCTGAAACTTTTTTAATTAATTTATTTAAAATTGCATTACGGGTGTTTTACAGTAAATTTAACCGTCGCGTAATTTGAAAATAATTAACTGATGAGGGAACAATAAATTAGTTAAATCTTGTTTTTTTTCTTTACCAAGTTTATTCTACTGTTTGTAATATAAATATAATTAAGAAATAAATGTTCTTGGATTGATATATGTACTTTCTAATTTTGAAATTTTGCGAAGGGTTTGGTCAGATGTGTCACTGATTGTTATCATGTGTGAAATAATCTAAAATCTAAAAATACGGAGTTTATATACTAGAGCAAGGCATTCACACGTGACGTAACCGGGTACAATCAAGAGTGAGGTTTTTCACTAAGGGTCTCAGCATTGTTGTCTTATAAATGGTTGTAATATTATGGAAATTTTATACTTGAATTCATATTATGGAAATTTACTCATTTGGATTGCTAAAGATTATATTACTGTGATAATTAAAAGGCTTCTTTAAATTTAGTCTTTTTCAATCACTTACTTACTGCTATTACTCGCTGACGAGTAGTCGACACGCATCAGATGGACCGAAAGATGGTTACGCAAGGCGTTTTCTTTCATGAGCTTTTCTGTGACTGACAAGCCCGATACGTGAATCTCTTTCCCACTCCGGACATTCAAAAATCTCATTACTTTGTTGCCTCTTTACATTTTTGTTGTCGTTTTAAACTGAGTTGATAATTCTTCTCCATTGTATTCTACCGTGCGCTGATTCCTC